TAAAGTTACTTAATCAATTATGTTTTTTCCCTCCAAATGACCAATAATCATCCACTCTGAGACAGAAAGAAATAATTAATGAATCAAGGAGGGAGAAAAACACTGTAGGACCATAATGCCCGTGACGTAAGGTCGACATCCAGGTCAATATGTGAATCAATGTAGACCATATGGCATGCGAAGGGTGGGAGAATATTTTTGCATTTCCTGCCCTTGATAATTACGTGTGAAAAGAAGGGAAGAAAAATGAGGTAAATCCGAAGGGAAGGGGGAAGGGAAATTGCAAAGAGGGGAAGGATGGGAATTAGAATAAAAGAGAACATGGGTGAGAGGGACAAAAGAGAGGAAGAAACGAAGAGGAAAAGGGGGAAAGAGATGGAGTGGGAGAGGGAGTCAGAGAGGGAACGGAAGTGGGGAACAAGGTGAGAGAGAGAGAAAGGGAGGGAAGGAGAGAGGGAGAAAAGAAGAGAAGGAAAAAGAAATAGATTTTGAGAAGGGGAAAGTGAGTGGAGAAGGAGAGGAAAAAATATATATAACGAGATATAACGTTATAAATACACAGGTACATTCATATATAAACAAAGAAAGAGATGAATAGAGATGAAAAAAGAGAGAGCGAAAGATATAGATTTTGAGAAAGGGAAAATGAGTGACAGGGGGAGAGGAAAAGAAGATAAGAGAGATATAACGATATAAATACACAGGCAAACTAACAGACAAACAAAGAAAGAGATAAATAAAGAGAAGAAAGAAGAACCGAAAGAACCAGAACCCAAAAGAAAGGCAACTGTCCAAGCGATCAAACAGAGCGACATAAACGGCGGAGTTGACAGGGAACAGAAAACGGGAAGTGCACCGCCAGCGACAGACCACACTGGGTCGCCTGTCATGAGCCAAAACAATCTTCATAAAGAGGAAATCGCAAATAATCATGAGAAATTTCGAACCACTGCATAAACGCCCTTTAGCGAGACCATAACCCATAACCATTCTTATTTCCGGGTGGTGTCCTAGTGAACGGGGAGGGAGGGGAGGGAGGGAAGGGAGAAAGAGGGAGAGGGATGAAGAGTGGGTGGGGTGAGACAAGTATTTTATTCATAATATCTAAAATAATCCACTACTACTACTACTACTGCTTCTACTACTATTGCAACAGCTTCTACAGTCACCACTACCACCACCCATATGATAATTAATTACATACGTATTTATGTCTATAATTTTTCACTGTTGCTGTAACAACTCTTCTAATGTTGATGATAGTGTTATTACTATTACTTTTGTTCTTATTACTGTTGTTTTGTTGCTGTTATTGTTATAATACTAGTAATAATTATATTGATAATAGTAATGATGATGATCATTATTCTTGTTATTCTTATACTAATTCGTATAAGAATATGTATTTAATTTTATTTGTTATCAATATTATAATCATCTTTATCACTGTTATTCTTGTTTATGATAATCATTGTTAATAGTTTGCTATAAATGTTATCAATAGTACTGATAACAGCAGCACTATAACTACTGTTATTACCACTTCTTCCTTTTTTTATCGTTATCGTCATTACAGCTGAATTTCCGTTTTATTATTATTATTATTATTATTTATTTATTATTATTATTATTTATTTATTATTATTTTTTTTGACATGCGTTAACATATCAGTCCTTTATGATTTTTCTTAACCTTAATTCCACCATTACCGAGGAGGATAAATCACAAGGGAAAACAAACAACAATTAAAATCCAATTAGGGAAATGCCTGATCACCCGGAGTCTAAAATCACGAGGCAATTTCCACGTATTTCCCGCACCCCGAAATGACCGAATATTTGGCACAAGGGAACAGAAAAAAACAACAAAGTAGAGAAGCAGAAAGATAGAAAGAACTCGTAAAAAGGAGAAAAACCGTAATGGCTGTGATAACAGTATATAGCCACGTAAGGGTCAATAGCCCACAGGAAGTATTAGTTGTGTGAACCATCGTAGCTTTGCCTCCCAGGACACCCTTCCTGCGCCCCCTCCCCCTCTCCTCAGAACACACGCTAAGGGTCGTTATTGTACATCTGGCAACACGCATGTCTTCTTGGACTCCCCCCTCCCCCCTCCCCCCTTCTCGTCCTCCATCGGCTGACACACTCGCTAAGGGTCGTTATTGTACACCAGACAACACCCATGTCTTCCTACCCTCTACTTCCCTCCTTCTTCTCCCCCCCCAGCCCCCTTCTGACCCCCCTTCCCATTCCCCACACACCTCTGACCCCCTTACCCCCTCTCCCTCCCCCCTAAGTTACCTGGTGTCGTACGGACAATCGGAAATTATCGTACTTTACGGATATTGTAATAATTTTAGGGCGGGATCTTTACGTATGATGTATGTGTGAGTATGGTTATGGGAAGATGATGTATTTTTCCTCGCTTTGACATGTGAGGATGATATATGCTTGATTTCGTAAAGTTGTTTTTTATCTGTGTTTATGTCTTTCCCCTAAATTCTTCGGTCTATTGTAGGTGCTACTTTTACGTGTTGTAGAATACCGACATTACCACGATCATTAATATTATGAATAAACAAACAAAAAGAGAATTGAAATTGATCAGGGACCGTTCAGTATATAAATACATTTGCGAAAATGTTGAGAAGATACAGGCCGGATATGCGGTTGTGTTCTGATTCTTTTTAAAAATAATCAAATTGAAATGTTTGAAAAGTGCAGTAACCACATACAAAAAGTAGCACAGATGCAAAACCCCAAACGCGCGCGCGCGCGCACGCACACACACACACACACACACACACACACACACACACACACACACACACACACACACACACACACACACACACACACACACACACATACATACATTAACATTGATATACATATATACACACGAACACAAATATTTACACACATACAAACACATGTCTATATATGTATTTATGTATATATGTATATATATGCATATATGTATATGTATGCATATATATATATCACATATTGATGCATATATATATGTATGCATATATATATATCACTCACTCACTCACGTAGTCAATCACTCAATCACTTACATTCTCTCTCACTCACTCATTCACCCTAACCAGACACACCCTGTGGTCATTCCGGCTCAGGTCAGGTCATGCTCACTGAAGTAGGAATGTCCCGCCCTTCCGACATGACTTATTTTCCCCTCCGTCAGTTCTTGTTCGTCGCAGGATTTTATCTTCTCTGTCTTTCTTTCTTTTTTTCTTTTCTCTCTCTTTCTCTCTCTCTCTCTCTCTCTCTCTCTCTCTCTCTCTCTCTCTCTCTCTCTCTCTCTCTCTCTCTCTCTCTCTTTCTTTCTTTTCCTTCCTCTTTTGGTTTCTTCCCCTTCTTCCCTTTCCCATCCTTCCTCTCTCTCTCTACCTTCCGATTTTCTTCTGTTTCTCCCTCCCTTCCTGTCTCTCTATCTCTCCGCCTTCCCTATAACTATAATTTACGAACGACTTCCGGGATTTGAGTTATGGATGAAGGTCAGTGCAGACCATTTATTATTTTGTCTAGTCAATTCTTTGCCGAATAGCCGACTTCTGTTCAATAATGACAAGTCGGATATATATCAAACTATCGCCATCTTGTTTAGAGACAGAAGGCGGGAGGCGATCGTCACTTATTTTATGTGTATTGTTTTCTATTGACGCGAATAACTAATATTCTTAATGTGTTATTGTAAGTATTAACCAATATCGGGTTTATGTACAGAAACTATTTGAATTTTGTTATTTATTATTGTTTTTTCTATAATATTGATAATTGTAATTTAATAATTTCTAATAATTTCTATAATATTGATATTTATTTCTATGACAATGATCATACAGTTATTATTCCACTATTATTACGTCTACGTGGTAATGATGATAATGATAACGATAATGTGAATAATAATAATAGTAACGATAATTGTAATGACTACTAATAACTATATGGAACGATGATAATAATGTTAATGATAGATATAATTATCAAGATTAGTATATTGCAAAGGATAAAATTACGATTTGTATTATTATAGGCATTACTATCATTAGTAATTATAATAGTGTTGATGAAGATAACAGTAAAAATATTAGCATTATTAACAGCAGTATTATTATCATCATTATTTATTTGTTATTGAGACTTATTATCATCCTTTCTTATCCGTTTATTAATTTCTCTTTTTATCACAACCCTTATCACACCTCTCCCTCTTCCTCCCTCGTTCAGATACGGCCCCAAGAGCGAACTCGGATCCAACATGTTCACATACCTCAAGTTCGGCCTCCCGCGCGTGTTCCCCCCGACCGCTCGAGGACGAGATGGGAGCAGCGGCTACGACTCGAGTGATGATGGAGGAGGAGGTCGAGGAGGAGGAGGAGGTGGAGGAGGAGATGGATCGCCGCTAGGAAGAGGAGACAGATACACGAGAAGCAAAAGCAATCCGGATTTGCTCGCCGCTCGGGACTGGCACACACCGCCGTCGACAAGAGAGGCCAGGGTCAAGGTGAGTTTAGTAATGGTAATGAGGGTGGAAATGAAGGCGATGGTGATGGCGATGTTGAGGTGATGATGGTCGGAATACTTGCGACTATTTTTTATGGTAATGGTATTGTTTTTGTTATTAGCTTTGTTGTTACTATTCCTATTATTGTTTGTTTAAATGTTTTATCGTTACAGTTGTTATTGTTATTATTAATATTGTATTTATTACTGTTATGATAAAAATGGTGATGGTGATGTTGATAACAGTAATACTACTACTAATAGTAGTAACTATAATAATAATAATATAAACAATGATAGTAATTGATAATGGTAATGATAGTAATAGTGATAGTGACGTGATAATGATAATAATATGTTTTTATTATTATGATCATCATTATATATTAGTATCATCATTGTTAGTGTTATTTTTCACTGGTCGACTGCTTCAACATTTCTTAACTTCTTAACAAATTTCTTGTTTTTTTTTCTCTTCCTTCCTGTAATATTTCTCTCGTTTTTTATTATTTCGCTATCACTTCCTAATGGTTTCCGCGTGTTTCGCATTCCTGTACTGAAGCAGGAATCGACAATATTACCAGTTGCCGGTTATAGAAACAATGTCTATGTAAATATTTCAGATTTTTTTGTTCCTGATATTCAAGAAACGTAATAATACATATGGTAGATTCAGTAAAGAAACAAACATACAATTAATAAGAAGAAAATTGTTAATGAGCCTGGCATTAATCGACGTAATAAACGAGGATGCAACGCAACGCAACAAAACAACAGTTAAACTCAAAGATTTCCGTTGTGTACAATGTCCCCTGGATGATGTACTCAGTAAGAACGCGTGAAAAGTACACCTTTCTCCCAGCAAGATTATATTTTCCCCCCCAGCGCAATGCCTTAAACATGGGAACGATTGTCTCTCCTGTGTGAGCCGGAAATAGGGAAGCAGAGAGCAAGAGAGCGTCACATCTCTCTTCCTGAAACTTTATCTCTTATTTGTGGATAATGGCATGTCTGAATCTATCCATTCTCATATTTATGGAACAATTTATCGCATCAGTAGCGTGTAATTGATTTTCAGCATAGTAGTAGCGTTTTTTTTCGTGAATGGTACGAAGATACTGGATACAACTTTAACGGCTTTTCATGGGTGCCTTTTTCCGGGTCATGTAATGGCTAGAGGAATATGAAAAATGTTTATTATTTATACGATTTATGATTAGTATAGGAAGTGACTTAAAGCAAGTTCAGAACAGGGGATTGACGACAAGTGTTTCGATTTTGTGACAAATTCATAATTATGCTCATGTGAATGAAAGTAGGAAGTAAGAATATATATATATATATATATATATATATATATATATATATATATATATATATATAACGTATTAAAACATCTATCTCTTTCTTCGCGTTTTCTACACCTGTCTCATTTCATAATGATTTATGATTACTTCTCCATCCTCATTCTTTTCTTTCCTCCTAGTCCTTTAACTATCCCATCCTACAACTCTCTCTGTCTCTATCTCTCCCTTTTCCTTTCTTTCACAGTCTCACTCTCAACTCCCTTTCCCTCTCCATCTGTCTGTGCACAAGATCACCTGTTCGCTAAAATAACATGCCAAAAAGCTCGTATCAAAAGCACACCTGAACATCATAGTCTAAGCGACCGCAATATGTCCGCTGTTCTTCTAAATCCTCCTATTTTGTAAACTTAATTCAGTAACATTTGCTCTCTGCCTTTCGTTTTCTTTTTGGTATATGTGTTTTTTTTTTTTTTTATATTCTGATTTTATTAAACATATGCATGATTTAGGAAAACGGAAATAACTGGCATATTATTATCTAAAACTTTCTAGCTTTACGGAAAAATATTTTAGTTTGGGAACATTAAAAAAAAACGTGATTTTTTTCGCTCTCTTAGAATGAATACTTCCTATTTTTACTCTACCCATTCTAATAGTTGATTTTCTCCTATTTTTTTTTACATTCCTCGCATCTCTCTATTCCATTAGAGTTCGAGTGAAGCCAATCTACTAGCTTCCGACGGCTTTTATAGAGACAGAAGAGCTATTAGACCCATTAGCAAGCTCGGCGGATCACAGATGTCGCTAGTTTCCCGACAATCTCGCCGGTCCCGACAGCATGGCGCGATCTTCAACCAGGTAAGCCATTTTTTTTTTCTTTGGAAGATTCTCGGTTTGGGTCTTCAGTCTGCGTGAAATTATGATTCATTTGTATGATATGACCTTACTTGAATACGTTTCTGTGTTTTAGAATATCATGATTTTTTTTTTTATTATTGTACTTATTTCCTAGAATGTCAGGATCTTAGATGACAAAAAGAAATCAAATTGTATTTGTTCTCTTCTCTGATGGTAACAGGAAGTGACAGTATATTTTTATGTTTTCCACAAAAGTTATTTTAAACCCTATAGTCCCTCCCCATTCCTAACCCACCTTAAAATCGTCTAAAAAATCCTCCCATATCCTATCCTTACGCAGTAACAATAATAAAAAGAAACGTGGAAAAAATCCATCGCAGAAAACTGGATACGTTTTAGTAAATACGTAGCGCGATATCCCGGACCAAACACGATCTGTCTCCGTATGGCGAAATGACCCCGGCAGTGCATAGTAATTTGATGATAGCTCAGAAAAAGGTACTGCTCCTGATCTTATTGTCATTCTAAGGTCATACAAGATAAGGATAATTTGGTCTTTCTGGAGGTATGATGTAACGCAGGAGAGATACAGTTGTACATATATGCATATAGGGAGACGAGGAATCATGCATTGATGAATAAATTAATGTATGTGTGCGAACATGTATGCAAAGACGCGCGCGCACACACACACACACACACACACACACACACACACACACACACACACACACACACACACACACACACACACACACAGGTATATATATATGATTTATATGTATATATGTTTATATATTTATATATATACGGATACATATATACATACATGCACACACACACACACACACACACACACGCGCGCGCGCGCGCGCATATATACACAGGCACACAAATACATATATAAACACACACACACTATATATATATATATATATATATATATATATATATATATATATATATATATATATATATATATATATATATATATATATATATATATGTATGTATGTATATATGTATATATGTATATATGTATATATGTATATATGTATATATGTATATATATATATATATACATATATATATATATATATATATATATATATATATATATATATATATATATGATATATGTATATGTATATATATGGTAGAAAATAACATAATGCACAAGCTAAAATTATTGATAATGAGACAACAGTTTCGAAATCCACCTGGATTCCATTTTCAGAACTGGAGATGGAATCCAGGTGGCTTTCGTAACTGTTGTCTCATTATCAGTAAATATAGTTTGTGCATTGTGTTTTTTTCTACCATAGTATCAACACGACAGTGTTTTAACGTTTATGAATATATATATATGTATATATATATTTATATATATATATGTATATATTTATGTATAATGTATGTATATGTGTGTGTGTGTGTGTGTGTGTGTGTGTGTGTGTGTGTGTGTGTGTGTGTGTGTGTGTGTGTGTGTGTGTGTGTGTGTGTGTGTGTGTGTGTGTAAAGGAGCCAGTAGAAGTAACCAGAAAATGCGCATTCCTCAAACCTATTAACCGTCACTGTTACCGAGTCGAGAAAATCCTTTTTATCCTCACGCAAGGTACAAATCCATGACCCCAATGCATTTGAGATATGATAAATATACCTTTTAAAAATTATAGCGGATTACGGTCAAGAAATTTCAGTTCGGGATTGATTTTTGTGTATAGTGAAGCCCGGTGTGAAAATAGTGATTAAGACAGGTACGTAGAGGTAAACAAGCGTTGCCAAATTTGTTATTTTTTCCCGTATTTTCCTTGTGCGTTTCGTAAAAAAAATAATATTAAAAGTACAATGGGTGTTAGAAAATCAAAATAGATCTAGGTATCAGAACGTGATGGGGATATCAAACCAACGAAATCGAATAGAAGAAATAAAATGGAACAGAGAATAAGATAATATTAATAACATCTTTTGGCTTAATAGCGAAGGTCGTAACTCAGCTGGCGGTTCGTGACGCCGCCTCAGCCGCGGTCGTGTCAGTAGCGCGGTGACTCTCTCGGCGAGTGGGTGTGTTGCCGAACCCTCCTCCACTGGTGCGTCTGTGGAGGAATTTTTTTTTCATCTCTTCGTTTCTTTGTGGTTTTTATTCGAAGTGGATTGAGGATTGTTTTTATTTCACATTTTGCTGAAGAATTTTGTTTCGGTTCGCCCGTAAGTGTACGGAGACAGATGTGAGGAATTTTGATTTTGGTGCTTTCGACTTGAGAAAAAGATAGTGCTGTTATTGGAAAAGGAAAATTGGTAGCTGAGAGTGACCTTTAAGGAAAGTTATTGTTTTAGATTGCGATCCAAATATAATTACAGCAGTTATGAAGACAGATTAATGAATCCCGTGTTTATGATGATCTTTGAAACTATGGACTGCATTGCTAAGGAAATAGAGATGGAGTAACATTAAGGAAAACTCACAATTCCTTTTTTGAAACAATCACAAGAAAAAAAGTGTCACTTCTTTTAGTCGAGGAAGAGAAGAAGCAGAAATCATAATTAACAGTACAGTACTGATAGAGCTTTGAGCGAGGTAGCCAGGCGCCTCCGAACCATGGAATACATTCGTCTAAAAAGCTTCCCCCCCCGTTCCTTCCCCCCCGCTGTGCCCTCCCCCGCCACCTCCTCCTCCTCCTCCTACCTGACGCCCTACCGTCGCCTGCCGCCCACCCACAAGGCACCCTACGCCTCCAGCAACTACCAGCCTTTCTCCTATGGCACCCACAAACCCTCTCCCTATGGCAACTACGCCTCCAGCAACCCTTATCCCACCCACAACCACCAGTCCAACCCCCCGCATTACTACACCTCCAAGCCTGCCGGCGCCGCCCACAAGTCGCACCTGTCCTCCTACGCCCACAACCCTAACACCTACCCTTCCTCCTCATCCTCCGCCACCCTCACCGCCCCCGCCCCCGCCCGCAACAACAACCACTACAACCAGACCCTGCCCCACCCACACCGCCCGCACAGCTTCACCATCCCGCACGCCCACACTCAATCGCACTACGCCCATGCCCCCAAACAGCCCCCCGACGCCAACGGCTACCGCGACCCGCCCATGCTCAACGACAAGCTGTTCCCCCGCGACAACCCCTGGCCGGACGAGGGCGGGATGGGCGCGAAGGGACCCCACCTGCAGGTCCGCGGCTTGGTGTACGAGACCCGCGGGCGTGGTGGGCGGACTCACCTCCTCGACGGCATCTCCCTAGAGGCGCGTGGAGGCGAGGTCTTAGCTGTCATGGCGACCAACG